AGTATAGAAATAGATTTCATTTTTTTATTAATAAATAAAAATATTTTATTAAATATATAAGTAATATAGTATTAAATATATATATATATATATACATATAATAAATATAAACTATATAATATGAAATAAAATAATAGATACATGTTATGCAATATTAACATATGTATATGTGTACTTTTTCTAAATGTCTAAATCTAAATATTCTTTTCATTGTTTTTTTAGGGCTGAAGGAAACAACTGAGAAGCTTGTGAAGAAGAAAATGGAGGGCAAAGATCAGTTGACTCCGTGGGAGCAGTACCTGCAGAAGAGAAAGGAGAAAAAGAAAGAGAAAAGGAAAGGAAAGAAGGTAAATGTGTTTCTGAGGAAATACTCATGTTTGTCCTTCATTTCTGTTCCTCTGACCTCACGTATGCTCTTGTCTTGTGCAGGAAGCGATGGAGGCGGAGCCTGCGATCAGTGATGATGAACTTCCTGCTGATGTTGACTTTAATGACCCCTTCTTCAAAGAAGAGCTCGGCTCGAAAGGTTAGTGACGAGTTTGCACTTGATTCCCCTCATGGTTTATAATATTCATCATGAGAGAGATTCTCACATTCCTTTTGGAAGTATTACATTGTTAGTGCTCTCTCTGCGTGTTCTCTGCAGCATCCCTGAAAAACAAAAAGAACAAGAAGAACAGCAAGAAGGATGAGGAGAGGACACCAGAAGAACAGGAAGAGCTGGAACGACAGAGGGTATGTTTCTCTGATGTTCATGAACGTGTGCTTGTGGGTATTGTATCATGGGTAACGGCTGTGTCATGGCGTCTAGGCTGAGATGGAGCTGCTGATGGACGACAATGAAAGCGACAAGCACAAACATTTCAACTACGACAAGATCGTAGAGCAGCAGAACCTGAGCAAGAAGAAGAGAAAGAAACTCGTGAAGAGCAACACGCCACTGGAGGAGGACGACTTCCAGGTCAGAGTCCCAAAATATCACCTTCACGGATTTAGTCATTTGTGACTTTTAAAAGAGCATTTGTGTGTGTGTGAGAATCACTGAATCAGAGTTTTGAATCAATTCCCTGAAGAACTGAATCAAATGTGTTGACTCTAATGCCATTTCTGCCGTGGTTCTCCAGGTGGACGTTCAAGACCCGCGTTTCCAGGCTATGTTCACGTCCCATCTTTACAACCTGGACCCGTGCGACCCGGGCTACAAGAAAACCAAAGCAACGCAGAGCATCTTAGAGGAGAAACAGAGACGCAGAGAGGAGCGACAGCACAGCCAGGAGGTGGCGGCGCTGAAGAGCAGAGCCGTGCAGGAGAAGGACAAAGCAGAGACGCCGTCATCCTCCACTGAAGCCTTAGACCCCAGTTTATCATTGCTTATCAAATCCATCAAGAACAAAACTGAACAGTTTCAAGCGCGCAAGAAACAAAAGACAAAATGACTCTTATAACAAGAGACTCGAGTCTGAAGTGGATTCATTGCTGTTTCATATAACAGGGTTCGTTTTCTGGAGTCACTTTTGTGACTAATTTGTGCTTGGAGACAAAATGAGACGTTTTTGATCAATAAATATCATACTTTCTCCTAGTTCAAAAATGTTCAAACATGTCTGCTTCAGACTTTTGTAATCGACCTGCCATTTTTGGATGAAAACATCAAGGGTTTGTTTCTTCCACTGTACACAAAATCTCATTGTACTCGTTTTGCTTGATGAAATGGTTCAGAACGGTGTATCTATGCTTCCCTAACCTGTCCTCCAGGAAGCCAAACTCTGCATTATTTGTATGACCCCCTCATCTAACACACCTGATTGAACTCGTTAGCTCATTAGCAGACTGCAAGAGCAGAATTTGACCCGCTGGAATTTGAGGCCAAGTGTATCCCATCATTCATCATGTGCTCTAAAATCATGAGATTTAAGGAAACTTTCCAGTATAAGTTAAATTAGATATTACATATACTTTTGTAAGTAAAATGTGAAGTGTGGCATATTTTATTGGCGCAGAGATGAGCATGTGTACGTCTTAAAATGCTATTTTGAATCCAAAGTAGGTCATAAGTGTGATTCGTGTAGATCCAGTAAGTTTTTTTCAAAATTGAAAAAGAGGTGGGTTTGCAAGAGTCACTCGTAATGAAATGAGAACCATGTTTTGTAATCATAAAAGAAAAGAAAAAAAATTTGTTTGAAAAAAAAATGCATAATTAGTATTGTAATTTTAGTGTTCTGTAAAAAATATTAAATACTATTTCTTTATTTAATTTACAGCCCAGTAGTAGTATTACTACTATAATAGTTTATTTCTTTAATGTTTCATTAAGTTTTTGCAATTTAACAGAATAAACATGATATCATCATCATATTATTACTAATTAATGCTTAGTAGTAGTAGTAAGTTTAAGTTGAATTGTGATTTTTTTTTTTGTGTAGACAAAATTAAACTAAATGTAGAAAAAAAAAAAAAAAA